TTCTTAGAATAAGATTGTAATGGGAAAAAAGATCCTTGTGCCGTGTTTGGATGTAATAATGATCGCCTTTTTCTAGTTTAGTATTAGAAATATGGTCTTTCATTGTATATTTCTCGGGAAAAAGGCGATCATTATAATATCCAAACGCGGCACAAGGATCTTTTTTCCCATCACAATCTTATTCTAAGAAAAATTTAGGAAAAAATGTCCCGAAAAGCGCTCGAAAATACAAACGAAATGTACTCATGCCCTTTGGCCATCCTATAATACTCCTTAAATCAAATTAATTCAATATGGCCGCCGTATCGGTAAAAAGGTCTCTTTATTTTGGCTGATAAATGTATTCGATTTAATTGTTGATTACACTGTTTAATTTAGTTCCTATTGCGGATTATTATACCCTTCATAAATACTCCTTGTGAATTTCACACCATTTGACTCCAACCAATTTATTTTGGGCTACATTTAAAAACAGGTATTTATTTGTACAATTGCATCGTTCTTAGCATTTTTTTAGCATTTTCTTCACCGTTAAGCCCCGTGCAAACGGACGCAACATTGTTGGCCAACAACTCCCAACATTGTTGGATGTTACATGTTGCGTCCGTTTGCACACCCTGTTGCATGTTGTTGGATGTTGCTGCGTGTTGTTGCGCGAAGTTTGAAACCGGTCAAATGTTTCAGCCAACAACTCCCAACAGTTCTTTTGTTCCGTGATCGACGAAGAGTAGCGCAACAATGTTGGATCCGTTTGCACAACTCTTCCAACATTGTTGGCGCTGCGCACGCGCATTACGCATGGTTTACAAAGACTTATGGGTTGTATCCTTCCCACGATGCACTGCAGGTCCCAAAATTGTTGGGAGTTGTTGCATCCGTTTGCACACCACTGCCAACATGCACGCAATAACTCCCAACATTGTTGGCGCGACAATGTTGGGAGTTGTTGCGTCCGTTTGCACGCAGCCTTAGAACTTACCTCGTAACTTACTTCCTCAGGCTTTCTTTGTGTCCTGTAACTTTATTTTTCGCTGTTTATCTCTTATTTTAGTGCCTTTACTGTAATCTTATAAAATTAGTTTAAACGTGCATGAGTCATTTTGAACGCTTCAGTGTAACCGTACCAAGAATGATGAATCTATCTTTTTCATCCTTAATATACATAGAGGATGTTACACGGTGGCGCGAAGATATGAATTTTATTTTCGAGTGGCAAAACAATATTTTACGAACGAGCGCAGCAAGTGAGTAAAATATTGTTTTTGCCACGAGAAAATAAAATTAATATCTTCAAGTCGCCGTGTAATGTTCTTTTTATTATATAGACAAAAAGACATCGATAAAATAATAGAGGGAAATTACCGAAATTACGTCATCGACAAACTCACGTGTGAGATTATGGAAAATAAACCACTTGGGTCCAGGATGCAGTTTTTATGATTTTACGAGTGGTATATTTTCCAGTAAAACACTCGTCTCTATATAATAAACAGTTTTATTGTGGGAAATTGGGTATTGCTGTAAATGAATGAAAACGTGAAACGCTCAGCTTAGTCGATCCTCGTGCTATATATTCACTTTCCTCTGTCTTTCCCTGATACATCTGGTGCAAGTTATACAACTTGTTAAAGTACAATAAATATCCACTCACCAAACGTTGATTAGAAGGGAAACTCGAAGGTTTCTTCGGAGTTTCTTGAGAAAACGTGGCTCATTGAATATCGAATAGTTACGAAATATCAGGATTTTTATCAATGTGGTAGATGGTTGCATCATCATAATTCACGAAGTTTTCACGTGCGATTCTACTCAATGAAACAGACGATTTAAGTCTTCATGTTTTAAGCTATTGCTTCTTAAAAGACAAAAGCCTTTACTTAAGGCATTGGTGACAAAACGAAACAGGTCTTCATACGTTCAAGTTACTATTATTACTGTGAAAAGCCAATCTGGATGAGATGTACAGTCACACAGCTGGCACGCGAATGTGTAGGACTTTGCCCCCTTTCGTGGTTCGTACGTGAGGGAATTCGAGTTATCACACAGTAAATCTAGTAAACAGGATTATAAAAATAACTCACGCACACAATTTGCACATAAAGATGTTGGACTTTGCCCTTTTTACAATTTATACGTAAAAGAACGCAGATTGTTTACGAGATTACTTTGCTCAAAAAAATTTTTAAAACAAGTCATTGTTATATAGCCGGACAGCGCGGGCTCTCATTGGTTACTTCGAGGTAATATGTCATCTAACAATAAAACTGTTTCGCGCCACAATCGCAGAGCGGGCAACATTGCAAATCTACGACGTCAGAGGGTAACACTGAGTGCACTGCCACCGGCCAATGTTGAACGACGGGAAACATTAAGATTTTCGGGAAACAAAATAAACTGTTTCTCTCTGGTCCAGTCATCAAGTGTTTATTATGGGAGATGTCAGGAGTCGACTAGGGTCCTGGAGATGTGCAAATAGAGAATAACTATGCACTGAATAATACTATCTAATGGGCTTCGGCATGATACAAACTTGAACTGGCGAACAGAGATTGATAACACCGCTGGTCAAACTGTCTGCAGAGTTCTTGGTTTTCTTTGTACCTCTGACTTCCACATCTGAACCGCTGACCGCGAGTGAACTAAGGCTCAGCACATCTGCTTCATCCACATCAGAACTGTACTTAATAACTAATGAGACCTCGATCAAGCCTGGTTCTGCAATAAGAGAAAATACGGGTTTTACCATTGTATTCACACTGACAAAGAGCTAGTTAGACTTGCCACAAGTCGACTGCGTGAGCGCCAAAGGTGCAAGGGACGCTCGCCAAGCGACGGACGTAAGTCGGGCTTTGAGAAAGTCTCGGCTAGTTTATTCTGATAGTTTCTTCCGAAGTTTTCAAACTGTCGTGAATTATTTCCTTAAGCACCACGGGGCTCAAATCTCCTTTTAATTAAAAACGGGAAATTTGAGCCCTAAACGTACGGGAAAGATTTAACGACTGCTTAAAAATTTCAGAATTTACAAGGATTTGTATGAAAAACCATTCAAGCGGGACTGGGTGGCAAGAGTTGTTTTCTCATACTTCTCCTTTTCCCCTTCTAATTTTCGGAGGCCGTTGCAATCGCTACTTTTGAGACATACGGCTGAAAATTTACAGGTTAGCGAATTTTAATAATTATGCTCTTTCAGCTCGTGCTAACAAAATTTTTCAAAAGCGAACTGTTTTCGTGTTTACCTAAAGTTGATCAAGTGATCAACTAATGCAAGCGGGACACATTTCGGCTCCAGTTACCTCCTTGTTTCTAAAGTGGCGATTATGAAAGATGAGTGAAGAAGCAAAACAGGTTAAGACATACCAGACCATCCAAGATGTGATAAAATGACTGTAGTAGAAAGTCGTTGCTTTTGAGGAGATATCACATGAAAGTCATCGCGTTTGGGAATGAACCACTGGCAACTTAAATCAGGAAATACAACCTGCAAGATGTTATTGTAATGATTGGTATATACAGGAGAGTTGTTCAGGAGGTTAACTACAGTTGAACTTCCCTGGAGCGGCCACCCTTGGGCGGGGTACCGGCAAGTGGCCGCTTTAAGAAGGTTGACCGCTCAATAGAGGTTCGTCAAAAATTTGTATAATCTTTAGCAGAAACATCGCTTTATTTTTGAAACAAACGCACGAAGGGAGCAGCATTACTGGTCCAAAATCGGTCGTCACCTTCTATCTCGGACTGTATTTTCCTTCATCATAGTCTTGAAATAAAGCTAATCTAAGTGTATCAAACGTTTTAATGGCCGCTTAGGGACTGGTCAAAAAGTATAGGCGGGGGTGGGCTGGAGCATTTGGAAATGTGGTTGATAAAAAAACACATGACCCACCCCCTCCCTTCGGCACAAAAAAGACTGACCCACCCCTAAAGCAAGGTTGGAAATTGCATGACCCACCCCTAGTTAAAACATGGATGTTTCGTTTCCTCTTAATAATCCAATAAAACCTTGTAGCAAGTGTAGTCAACTGTCTCGTTAGTAGTTAGTGCCTATCTATGTAATAAAATAGGGTGACCCACCCCCTAAGGGTAGCTGAAAATTGGCCGACCCACCCCTGGTACCAGGCTCAAAACCTCATGACCCACCCCCTCTCTGCTCCGGCCCACCCCCCCCCTATACTTTTTGACCAGTCCCTTAATAGAGGTGACAACAATGGGAGAACTCTCGTTGGGACGGACAAAAGGTGGCCGCTTATTATAACAGAAGTCTAAGTCCCCATTTTTTCTACAAGTATTTCGGGACTTAAATTACTGGCCGCTTGATGGAGGTTCCACTGTATTAATAGACAAATCCAAATGGGAGCATGGAAGGTGAGGTGTTGAGAGCACTCTCCTTCCACCAATGTGGCCCGGGTACGTATCCTGGCGTCGACGTGGATTGAGTTTGGATTGAGTTTGTTGTTGGTTCTCTCCCTTGCTCCGAGAAGTTCTCCGGTTTTGCTCTCTCCTTAAAAACCAACACTTTCAAATTCCAATTCGATCTGGAACGCACGGATACGTTTCAACGAGTTCTTATGAACTCTTAAGTGCTCCGTATAGGTAAACAAATTATAATTTACATAGCCTGCGTAGCAGGCGCTAGGAAATAAATGGGCGCAAGAAAGGACGGGCGAGCGCGAGGGAGACACGCCAGGCACCCATTTATTTCCTAGCGCCTGCTACGCAGGCTATAATTTACAATTCTTTTACGAGGAAATAACGGTTATGCAACATTCCCCTCCTCAATAGTGTCTAGTCTTTCTTCAACTACAAACAACATTCCGGCGTGGGGGGATTTACGGCGTTTAAACATAATTGTATGGTTTACAAATGATTCTCAAACTCATTAATAATTCATAAAGAGAAAACAGTTAATCAGAACCGTGACGGTAAGGTGGTTAGGATATCGGATCTTAATTACGATAAACTTTTGCGAACTTTATCTTTGAATTTCTCCAAGAATTCTTGTTCATTTGAGAAGCTATATCAAAAACTCCCCTCAGTGTTTCATCCGATATCCAGACAACTCGAGGTCGGTCTTAAAAAACTTAGCTGTGCCTCATTTTTCAACCCACTTCTCGGTGTCTGGATATGGAATGAAACACTGCGTGTCGTTTTTGATATATCACATGAAATTGTTGACACAAGCATTTTGTCGCTTTTGTCACTGATTATAGATTTTGCCGTTTATCAGCAAGAACAATGCAATGCAATAATAAGTGCCATACTGACCTGTACTCTGACCTTTCTTGCATCTCCCACATTCTCCAATACTGCTTCAACATTGATTCCCAATGTCAGGCCAGCAGAGAAGCATAGGGGATTGTCTGAGCCGCCATGTGGCTCGTTCATGACTGCAGATGCTTGATGCAAACTGTTCGTCAACTGTAATTGTGCAACTTGATAAGAGAGAACGATGGAGTGAACATAATTCATTACCTCCGACGGGTTAGTTATGTTAGATTCAAAGAAACTGGGAAATGAGACGAACGCTGCCGAAAAAGCATCTGTGTGAATGTTCTCCTCGTTGATAAAGTTTGAAAACGTTTTGATCCTCATCAAAAAAGACTCCCAGATCTGAAGCATGGAATTTAAGCTTCGGTCACGCGCGCTGCTATAACGTTGTGTGACGAGAATCTGTAACGCATGCGCAATGAGTCTCAACTGCCGTAGTAAGAACATTTGTTGATGACTAAGGCCCATAAATGTATGTTCAATGCGATAGGACGTTAAGAAAATGTTTTCCACTAGGGATTTCAGACCCGACCCCTGATGTGTGCAAAGCACTGCAGGTATGCTCCATATTTTGTCATTCTGAGCCTGCAATATCATTCTGTGACACTGAAGGTACAGAGAAAGGCACTCGGCATCGCCACTAAGAGACGACTTGATGCTCTTTATATGAATCAAATCTTGAATGGCTGTTTGAAGACCTTGCTGGGCATTTACTGGATTCTGTGATGCAATGCACTGAAGCCGCAACTGGATGCTTTCAAAAAACCTCTTTGCCTTTTGGGATCCTAAAAGAAAATGGACAGTGACAACAACGAGTCATTTCCTCACAACTGAGTAATATCACAAATGAAATTACTGTTGTGGATCAGAGTACAGCAGACGTGTCCTGTTTACATTATATATTAACATGATAATAGTAAGCTCGGTTTTCTAGTTGGCGACCTTATTACATTTTTAAGTTTAAGATAAGGAGCCAAGGAAAGCAAGGGTGTCCCTGTAAAATGAAAATAGCTTAGAATGCGGTTTTGTCACAAAACCTCATTCTACGCTATTTTGGCTAAACTCTGTTTTAAAACCAACCCTCAGGTTTCAGCTAACTCCTCACCTTCTTCTTCAGTTCTCCTGTGATCTATGTTGACATCAACTTTCTCTACATCCAGATGTGGTACCAGATCAGGTTGACTGTCACGCAGGTATCCATAGTGACGGGTGGTGTAACCTGGAAACATGGTCAGCATTGTGGGACTTTTAGCCGTAGCATTGAACACCAGAATAAGAATGGCTACGTAAGCAGGGTCATCAATGGACGGTTCAGGTGTGGCAAAGAATGGATGAGTAGACAGTAGCTCAGGTGTAAGGGATGACGCAAGATGTTGATGCTTTTCACCCAGAAATTTGGCACATCTAAAAGTAAAGAGAAAAAAGATATCGTAAGATTAAAGGGGCTCTGTCACGGCTGACTAGTTTTTTTGTTAACATTGCCAATGGAGAGGAGAAGTCGTTATGTAACGTTGCCATGGTAGCAAAATTTCTGGATGAAAACAAACCGAAGAACGTCACTTAAAAAATTTGCTCTGGTTGACTTCATCGATCTTATTCACTTGAAATTAATTTGTCAAATGTTGGCTAAATTTTCTCCATGTTCTCTTATGCTTTACGTCATGCTCTAGTCACGTGAACGCCATATTTCAGTCAATTTTTCAGAATTTTATAGGTTTACGTAGAATTTGTACGTAACTTAGTTTTCATCATTCGTTTGTTGCTTGTAGCAATTGATTGTGTGGCTGATAAATCGAAACTGGAATGAAAGCTACATTTTTTTGAATGAAAAACACACTCTTTTGTCCTCAATTTAGTACCCAGAACGCTGGAAATCACATTTTAGGGCTTTGAAATTTCCAAATATTTATGGGGAAGTACGCCCCCAGATCCCTCTAGAAAAAGGGGACTAACGGCCCCTTGTTGATACAGTCGAATACTCTTTTCAAACCTGCTGGCTACTTCAATTTTTATTGAAACCCCTGCATGTTATCCGAGACAGCTGTAAGCGCGTGCAAAACATGGCAGGTATCGTGAATAAGGTCCATTACGTCATCATAAAGGATCATGAATATTCAGTGGAGGTTGAATTAAAAGAAACAGTTCTCTTGCATATTATAACATGACCTACTCGGAGAAAATAAAACATACAAGCTAAAGAGGTCTATTCTTAACTCTCACCTCAAGTGCAGCAAGCAC